AAGTTCAGAAATCAACTACAGTGATCTATTTGCACAAGACAGTGGTTATATTGAATTTTCATAAGAAACATCAGTATTGCACATTTAAATAATTAACCATTCAAATGGTTTTTTTGGTAAGTTTGCAACATTGTGTGTATGCGTGCACACTGTGACAGAAAGTTTGTTTTGAATTTACCTGAAAGAACAACTGGTAGGCAAAACAAGTATTCCATCTTATACAACATCGACATTTTAAAAAGTTGTGTCTATTTAATGTTTGTAGACTGATTTTTGTGTCTATCTCCTCTTTCCTCCTCTCTCCAAAATCAGTGTTCTCACACATTAAAGTCTAGATGTACCTACAAAAAGCACGTGTGTCATAATTCTGTCACTCCTCTGGAACTGGAAACACATTCTAGGACGACTTAGTTCTGGCGCCATTCTTCCAAATTCTGTAAATACAACCTTGTTCACAGCCGTTTCTATACCACCACACTTCTTCACTGTTATTATCTGTTTTTTTCTGCTTTATCTCAAAATCCCTACAAATGTTTTACTTCTTGACTCTTCTTATCTATCCAATACCAATTCCTCTCTCCTGACATCTAACGTCTTTCCTTCCAAATATAGAATCATGGGATTTGGAGCTGGAAAGGATTGTAAAGAGAATTCCGTGTAACTTCATTTTTACAGATGAGGATACTGATGGCCAGTGAATTCTAAGTCCAAATACATTGCTTTTTTCCACAATGCCTTGCTGTCTCCTCCTCTTCATCTTTTAAGCTCCTACCTATCCTATAAATTTCCAACTCAGATGTTGCCTCCTCCTTCCTTCACCACCCAAAAGATCTTCTCTTTTAGGTTTCATATAGTGAGTGCTTTGTCCTAAACTCTTTAATGCAATTATCAAGTGATATAGTATACTAGAGATCGCTGTGTCTCTTATTCTCCTATCAGTCAACAAGTATTTATTAAGTGCTGACTGTCATTGATGAAAAAGAAACCGTCTCTGTCTTCCAGGAGCTTCTATTATATAAGAGAGGTAGGAAGGGAAGAACAACATATTTATGTAAGCGTGTACAAAGTAAATATGTAAACATAAGATAATTTTGGGAGGACCTAGAAAGGCTTCATGTAAAAAGTAGTGCTTGAGTTGAGCTTTTAAGGAAGAGGTAGAGCTAAGAGAAAGGAGAACAGCCAGTACAAAGGCAGGACAGCTAGAGAGGGAGTGTGAGGAACAGTAGGTTGACTAGGATGGTGGATTGTAGAGTGTTTGGAGGGAATAATTGTGTAAGAAAACTAGAAAGTTGGAGGAGCCAGGTTGTGACAAGCTTAAATGCCAGTTCACTCCTCAGAGTGAATCCTGCTATTTCCTTAGATTTAAACTTATCTCTTCGTTCTCAGATGTTTTCATCCTATGCTGTGAAAGTCCTAGGGGTTTTATGACCCTCATCAATCTTTAACCAAAAATTAGGAAAAATTGTTTAGTTGTTACTTCACTCATATTGGACTCTTTGTGACCCCTTTTAGGGGGGTTTTCTTGGCAGAGATACTGGAGTGGTTTGCCATTTCCTTCTCTAGCTCATTTTACAGATGAGGAAACTGAGGCAAACAGGATAAAGTAACTTGTTCAGGGTCACACAGCTATTAAGTATCTGAGGCTAGATTTGAACTCATGAAGATGAATCTTACCAATTCCAAGCCCAGTGCTGTATCCACTACACCACGTAGCCTATCCTAAAGGTAATTAGCAGCAGCTGGAATTTATTGAGTAGGAGGAAGTAAAATGGCCAAACTTGCACTCCATTTCAGAAAAATCACTTTGGCCACTATATGGAAGATGAAATTGGAGTGTTGGGAGATTTGAGACAGGAATACAAATTGGAAAGAGGGCTATTGAAACAGTTCAGGAAAGAGGTTATAAGGGACTAAAGCATGGTGATAACTGTATGAAGGGAAAGAAGACCAAATCATTTTGATGATTACTACTTTATAATATAGTTTGCATTCTGGAGGTACTAGTCATTTTTCAGTCCTAAGCAGTTGGCACAGTTCCTGGCACATACTAGGCACTTAGTAAATTTTTATTTCCTTCCTTCTTCCTTGTTATAATATCCTGCAATAGAGATTTTAGAAACAAGAACTTCTTTTTGTCATTATTAGGTTTTGTTTTGTTTTGTTTTGTTTTGTTTTTGTCTAGGCAATGGGGTTAAGTGACTCGCCCAGGGTGACACAGCTAGTAAGTGTTATGTATCTGAGGCTGGATTTGAACTCAGGTCCTCCGGAATCCAGGGCCAGTGCTCTATTCCCTGCGCCTACTAGCTGCCCCTTTTTTGTGAAAAGAAAGAGCAACTCCCAAATCAAAACATGGTAGCATAGAGCTAAATTCAGAGTTCCCAAACATCCATGTAAACTTTCAGAAAAGGCCCTCTTATCTCTTGCAAAATAAACAGTATTCTCTGCCAATTCATATGAGAAAGATTGAACCCAAAGTAGGTATTGTATAAGAATATAGAGCTAAGGTAGTGTGGGATAAATTTACATACAATTAAGTTAATGTGTTTAGTAGCTTTTGGGTTTTTTTCCCCAAGAACTTAAAAAAAATTTTTTTTACCCCAAACCCAGTAAATATCAATTAGATTTTAAATGATTTATATGTAAATTCATGCACTTAAAAGCATGTAATAATTCGGTTTTTTGAGTGTATTGACTTTCCACAAAATAACAGTAATGCTTTATTTCAATATCCCCTCCGATTTCTTTTCTTCTGTTTTTAGAAATACTGTTATAGTTGCTGCCTTTCCGATTCTGCTTCTGCTCTGCTTGTTCCCGTTTTGCTTTCTTTACTCTATGTCACTTTATATATGTCTTCCCATATTTTTTGTAGTCCTCGTTTATTTCTTTTAGCACATTTATTATTTGTATGCTGTAATTTGTTCAGCTATTCCCCAACTGTTAGACATATGGGTTGTTTTTAGCTTTTTTGCTTTTATGAATAAAAGTGCTATGAACCTTCCTATACAGGTGTCTTTTTTTTTCTTTTTAATAATACCATTGGCATAAAGTGCTGTTAATGGGATCACTGTGTCAAAAAGGTATGAACAATATTGTAATTCACTGTACAGAGCCAGATCATTTTTTAAGAACCTCAACCTAAATAGCCTTCTAACTGACCAAGGATCCCTTCTTGGTTAAAGAAGATGAAGTAAATTTTATTTAGAAAACCTGATATTGCAGAAGGGACCATAAATCTAACATTAATACTAACAAAGCAGAGTACCTCTTTGACATTTTTGTCTGAATCTTGACAGTCCTGTATTTGACCCATTTATATATTGGACTAATTAATTTATTCTGAAATTACCTTAGCTTAAATTGGTCCCTTCCTGTTTCAGGGCATAGTGGTTGAGAAATATTTAACTTCAATTTATTTCACTCTTATTGCTTATTTCACTACATTTATGACTTCAATATAAAAACGTATGTGAATCATTTGTATATTAACCATTCTGTTTAATTTTTCCTTATGCTGTGAGATTATATAAAATATCTGTGTGCCTGCTGTGAGCATGGCACTATTCCTCAGTACTAAAAAGTTATTTCAGATAACATAAAATACTGTCCTTAGTTTTTAAAGATGACGCTGTTCATTTCTTACAGAATTACCATTTGCGACACTCTAACCTCAAAATATTCCTGACGACTGCATTGGAAATACTGGAAATTCACCGTGCAGAGCGAAAGAGAGTTAATATTCCAGATTGAAACCTATACCTGTCTGGAATGATAATATGTTGCATAAATAACCAATGGAAAATAGCAAGATGCTGCTGATAATTTGTTTCCTTTTGCTTATGAGAGTGAATCGAGGTGTTTGCTTAGATTTAAACTGATCCTTTGGCTCTTAGACATTTCCAACCTAAGCAGCAAGAATTCTGAGGGTTTTTCTAACCTGTATCACCCTTTCACCAAAAAATTAGAGGAAAAAAAGCCTACTATTTTTATTTCTCATACTGTTGCTGCCACTAAAATGCAGTTTGTAGCTTTGTTCTTCCATTTTTTGTCTTAGGATATCTTTTCCTCTGGGAGGTGGATGTATTGGATTGAGGATTCAAAATGAGAAAGAATCTTGACCATTTTTTTTCTTGCAGCTACAGTTTATCAGTTTTACCTCCAAACAGGTAATTTAGTTTTTTCCAGGACCTCCTTAAAATTCCCTAAAAATTCTGTTCCTCCTACATTATTCTCCTGGCTCTGCTTCTGAGTTTCTCAGCTTTGCCATCATGTTTCAGCTACAGTTTCACCCTGGAACTCTGTGCCTGAAGCCTGTTTACCCTGGAATATCCTTGTCCTTCTTCCTTCTCACCCTTGAACATCCCTCTATCATCCCCTCCCCTGTCTCACATTGATGAGTTCCTCCTGAGACATTTGGGGGAGGTGCCTCTCCCCTCCCAGCTCTGCTTCTGATTTTCCTAATTTAAACAGCACGTCCCTGCACTTGCTGTCTCCCCACCCATCCCCATTTTAAACTCTCTTGTTTGTGTTGTCTTCTCCTGTCAGAATGTAAGTTCTCTGAGGGCAGAGATTATCTTTTTGTATGTACCTGTATCTTTAGTGTTTATTAGCACCTCATAATAATAATAATAAGCACCTCATAAATGCTTCTTGCTTTGCCCTCTCTTAATCCATCCACTCCCTCACAATACTTATATACTCTAAGAAATCCTGAGCTTCATAAATACTTGTATCCTAACCTGTATATAGTTATTTAAAGTTTGCATAATCATTTACCTACCAATGTGTCTCCTAATCCTGTGAGTATAGTAGTACAATCTCCATTTTACAGATAAAGAAACCGAGTCTCAGAGAGAATAAATGACTTGCTCGTGGTCTCACAGGTTTCTCTGACTGCATCCAGAAACTTTCCACTATATATATTTTTCCTGTTGTGATTTTGTGAATACTGTTAAAATGAATAATGAAAGGTCTCATTCATCGTTTACTTTTTATGTTTTTAGGAGGCTTGTACATGACAGTCGGCATAACCTCCAGATGCGTGGGCTGGTGGTATTACTTATTTCCAAAGCGGCTGGACCCAGTAGCACTGCAGCATTGTCTCTCAAACATGATATGGTCAGTGGAATTTATCCCAGGTAAGAAGAAACTGGCCTTCAGAGAGTTTTTTTTTTAAGTTAATAAACATTGGTTAGGGAGACTGTAATTATGGCCATTGATTAGGTATACAAACTTTTTTTTTTTAAGCTCTGAAATTCTCTGAGGCAAAGAGAGCCAATGACTCCTTGAGGCAACAAGATATATTAAAACAGAGTCAAAAGGCTACAAAAATGGGAAAAAAATTATAATGTACCTCTAGTATCACTGGTACCATCTCAACCCAGGCCTTCCTGGAGAGTGAAAGCTAGTTCCTCCTTGTTTCTGATGATAGAGGAGACTCAGGTACTTTGCTATAATTATTCCCCTTGAAACAATCCCATGTGGCCAGTAAGGAAGACAAATGGCACCCGCTGGTTACCATGAGCTTTGGGGAGCTAAATAGGGTTGTGACACCAAGTGCTGTGGTAGTTTCTGGCCTCATCAATGTAGCTCAGGGCCCTACATATGTATATGGTTATTGATCTCCTCATTGTGTGTTGATTCGTATGTCTGAAACTAGTTAGTAGTTTACTTTTACCTGAAGGAGTGGAGTATATTTTTGCCTTCCTTCCTCAAGGCTGCTTCATAATGCCTTAGTTGGATAGGTCTAGACCTGAAAGAAACTCCATTTCCTGAAAGCATTGATGTCCATTATTACATTGATGACATACTGATGACCACACCAGACAAAGCCATGGTGGCAGTGGCTTTCGGTGGAATGGTGGCCTGTGTAAAGAACAGCAAGTAGGCTTTGAGACACTCAAGAGGTGGCTGCTAATCTGTTCAGGCATATATGCTGGGAGAAGGCCGGGATCAAGATGAAAACAATAGTGCTGTGAGGTAACTTGTACTTTTTTCTATTTTTGTAGCCTTTTGACTTTGTTTGAATATTTCTTATTGCCTCATGGAGTCATTTGGCTTCTGTTTGGGTCCATTCGAATTTTCAGAGAGTTTTTTTATTTGGACAAGATTTTGTACCTCTTGAGCCAAGCTGTTAATTCCCTTTCCAATTTTTTCTTCCATAGCTCTCATTTCATTTCTGGCTTTTTCCTTAAGTGCTCTCATTCCATTTATGAAATCATTTTCAACTGTTTTTTAAACTCTTGTTTCATCTCTTCCAAGAATTCTGGTTGAATTTGTGCCCAAGCAGTGTTTTTCTCAGAGGTATTTCTTGTAGATGTTTTGGAGTCATTCTCTTCTACTGTATTTGTGTCATAAGTGTCCCTGCTACCATAATTGTTCGTTATAGTGGGATTGTTTCTTTATTTGCTTATTCTTCCAGAGTGACTTAGGACATGGTGTTGGGGTTGGGCTCTGCCATACTTCTGGAGGAAAGGCCTGAGCTAGTCTTATTATTGCTTTCTGGGGTGGGGGGCAGGGGGGCTTTTGATATTGAGTGTTGTGTTATTCTAGGAGATTAGGGATAGGCTGGGAGACCTACAAGCTTTCAATGCTCTCAAAGTGGTCTGATCCAGGCCAAAGTTTGTTTGTTGCAGATCGTACCCCCACTCCTGTCCTCACACTCCTGCAGCTCTGCAAGTTCCTGACCTGAGTTTGGGTCTGTGCAAGAGTAAACTGCTTATGGACTCCAACCGTCAGCTAGCTGGAAAGCTCCATTGGTTCAGAGAGGCAGAATTATAGGCTCCCCTTTGGTCTAGTTTTCCCACACTGGTTATTTTGCAGGCTGAGCTAAGCCTCGGAAATGAGAACCTGCTCTGAGCTTGGAGTCTAAGCCACACCACCGCTGCTGCTGACCTCTGCACTTTCTCCTTTCTCCCTACACTGCCCATGCCCCCCTTGGAACACCACTCCCTGCGCAGGTCCCTTTCTCAGTTCACGCCGGATCTGTGACCTAGAACTGAGTAGCAGATAACAAAGCTGCTAGTTGGCATCTGTCTTTTTTGCAGTGCCCAGTAGTAGAGTTGTTTGAGAGTCCTCCGGTAGGATCTGGAACTTCCCGTTACCCTAGTGCACAGCTTCTCTCTGTGCATTGCAGTGCTTAGTGCACGTCTGCTCCTGGCTCACCTCCATTCCTAGTGTACATAGACCTCCATGTCCATCTCCCTATGACAAAGGACTCACTATGACTTTTTCTGTATTTCTCCATCAGGAGTATTTGGACAGGAGCTCACCACACTGCTTCCTACCACTCCTCCATCTTGGTTCTGCCCTCTGCTGCTTGAATAGTTGAGCTGAATTATTTTGAATAATTATGCCTCTACATCTTAGGAGGCTTTGCCGTGTTCTGGGGCTTGATTCACTCAGCAAATTGCAGCATCTGGAGGACCTCACTGTCTTTTTAACATCAATATTATTCCATTGATGCTGTGACTGGCTCATGGGATTTCATAGTCTGCAAAGAATAAAAATAGAGGATTACCAGAAAACCAATAGAGAGGTACACAGTGGGTGAAGGCAGGCTGTTATGAAGAACTGGTAAATACAACTCATCAAAAGGATATGTGAATGGAAAAGAAGGTGATTTAATCATGATCAGATGAGTTAATAACTTCGCCAGCCTTGAAGTACTATATAAACATTAAATGTTGTGATGATGATAGTGATGATGCAATGGGGGAAAAAATTGATGGACAACCCTCAAAACTCTAATGCAGTTTTGCAATATCATGACATCTAGATTAAGATCCCCAGCATACTTGGTAAACTCCCAGTGGAAGATTCTGGGGAGTACTTGGACAAGTCACATGTTTTTGAGGTCACAGATCCATCAAAATATCAAAGTTATACTTAAAATATAGTCACAATGTCTGTCCTGTTGATCTGTTATAAAATACATTATGTGCTTCTGTTAGGATTTGTAATCTGAACGATTGTATAACACTTTGCAAAATATGAAGTGTAAAGAGCTAAATTTAAGTAATAATTTCTAGATAAATTTTATGGGCCTCTATTTCTTGTTCTAGAGCAAGGCCATAACATTATTTGGGGAAAATAATACATTTTGATTTAGACTGCTCCCAGTATTTCAAATTCATACAATAATGCATTGGTGGTATTTGAATGTTTTTCATAGTTGTTAATGTAAAAAAGCAGTAGTGATTTAAAAAAAAAGTTATTTGCAATAGTTTTATAATGGTTCCATAGTTCATTTCTCTATCCCTAAAGTCATTTATTTTGGTTGGTTCTTTCTAATTTAATTGTTAAAATGTTAGATTTGCTTTAGGCTTATGTTTGTCCATAATGCCAAAGTGAATTATTTAACATTTGGAAAAAAATACCAATTATCAAAGTTTTGATTCACCCCCCCCCAGGCTATTTGGATTAACATTTGGGGCATTTTTCTCCCATAGGACTTGTCTTTTTATCTCTTTAGGTAATTGAGCCTGATAAATTATCCTAAGGGGGATGCCAAAATGACCACTTTTGACCTGGCCTAAGGAAATAATAGGACTTACTGTATATGCCAAAGGAAATAATATGATTATTGTATATGCCAATATAAAAATTAGTTATTTGGTAACTGGTGGTTCTAGCTGTGTTGAATAAATGGTATTTATATCAGGCGATTGGATCTGAATCTAAGATAAAATGTGTGAGTTTTGAGAATCCAGTGCTAATGAAGCCAAATTAGTAGCCAAGCTAACTGTAGACAGTGGTTACCTAGTAGAATGAAAAGAGCTTTGTACTCGACATCAAAAGACCTGCCTCTGACACTTCTTAGTATTGTGACCATAGGAAAGTCATGGGAAAGTCTCTTTATCTGTAAAACAGAGCTAGTATTTGCAATACCTGCCCCATAGGCTCATTGTGAGAACAGAAGTATAAGTTGTTGGTTGTTATTGTAATTGTGGCTGGTTAGCACCATTGGTAAGAACACCATGCTACTAATGAAGCCATTGTCTTTGAGCTTTCGTTTCTTCCTTCTGCCTCCAAAAGCTTGATGGTGAAAGGGGTAGAGCAAGAGGGCACAAAGAGTTTATTGAATACCTGTCACTGAGCATGGCTTATATCCTCTGCTCTCCTTCTCCCTTCTCCTCCATACTTTTCCCAGCATGCAGTTCCCTCCAAGATTGAAGATCAGCTCTAATTTTCTCCCAGTGCCCCTTGGTAACCTGCCCCTAGCTCTTCTTTCTTTGACTAAGCTGAGAGGACAAACCCTCTCTCTTAGACCAGTGGACATTGGACATTTGTCCCTGTACTCAGCTGTTGGTTCCACACATTACACTGTTCTCAGTGGGCTTTCCCACTATCATGTGTCTTGTTTTTTGTTTTTTTTTTCTCCCCTCAGGGTGGTGTTTTCCTAGGTCTTATATTATAATTAAAAACCATTCTTAAGTCGTTAGTACTCATTAACAGAACATTCTCTTCACTTCTACAGGCAGAGCCTTGGCATATAACAAAGTATAATCTCTGGATGAAGACATGGATAATAATGATATTCAAGAACATCTTTTGAGATTGTGTCCTGAATTTTTGTAATGTAGTCCACTTATTAAGTAAAATTATAAAAATGATAGCATAAACAGAGCATCCATAACTGGATCCGCTCCCCTTCCAAAAAAATTTGCAAAAGCATAGTGTTTATGTAAATATTTAAAAATCCCTAGTTTCAACAGTGTGGGCCCTCTCTCCACCAGTCAGTCAACAATCATTTTTTTTGTTATATCCTTTTTATGTGTCAGGCACTCTAAATTTTTCTGTACCTATGAGGCACTTTTTATATTGGGAGATCTAGGTGATATCAAGGCAAAATATGCAAAACAATTCTGTTAAATAAAAATATAAGTAATGCAAAGGAGATAAGGGGGGAGATATGTGTAAATTAAACAAAAGTTTAAAAAAATAAAATTTTTAAGAGATGGGCAGAATCTCTGATTTTATTGGCATAGTTAATTCCCATTAAGGAAAACCTTTCTATCAATACAGATCAAAATCTGCTTTGCAGCTTCTAGTCTTAGACAGTTACCTAGGACACTAGAGGTAAAGTGATTTGCTCAGGGTCACACAATCAGTATGTTTCAGAGGTGAGACTTAAACC